AAAAAGCCATAGAGAAACTGTAGTTTTTTTTTTTTTTAAACAGGAAAGCACCATCAAATATCAAATGCATTTTTTTTAACAGTATACATACAAAACAAGAACGAAGCTAAGCATCATACTATGTGTGAACACAAACACTTTACTACAAACTTGTGACTATCTTCACTGTTTGAGCATATGGGGTGAATGAATAATTCATGATAATGGAGGTCATGGCTGTGACAAAGACCCTAGAATGACTCAAAACTCAGGATTTCACCAATGCATCCTTTCTCAGTGACTCAATGAGCATGCTACAGAAGATCAAGGCGGGGCATCTGCAGAAATAGTGGCTCCATCTCTGATCCAGCACGCAACCTCAGCAAAATCACTTCCAGACAACATCAATTCCACAAGAGAGACGAAACACTGTGAGGCTTTCAGGTTTCTGGAAAATGAGTTTTCACTAAATAGACTAAATCTTCCTTATATGGTCCATACTGACTGGCACTGGTTTTTTAGACCCTTCCATTTCATGCACCATCAGTAACCTCTGAGACAATGATCGTCTATAAAAAGTAAAGATCCATTTTCTCGCCTTCAGGCATATGGAAAGAGCACTCCATATTTTTAAAGACCAATTGGCACTATGAATTCCATGCTACGAAGCCAAACTGTCTGGCTTCTTGTCTATTGATCTCAATCTGCCTCTCTCTCTCTCGCCAACCTTTCCATTGTCATGATTTTGTTACAGTTTTAATTACAGCACTTATTTTTGTTTTGTTTTTATTTCATGGTCTAGAACAGGGCTATTCAACTGGTGACCCGCGGACCAAATCTGGCCCGCCAAGGCCTAGCAAAAAGTTAACATAACCATGTCACTGTCTTGTAACCAGTCACTATTGTTAGGGATGTCAAGTTTGTTTATCATGTGACATTTTCCAGAAGAACAGGGGAACATCATTATGACAGTTTTAAGATGGCCACCTCACTTTTGCCATGCACCAAAGAGGAGCAGTCTTATGCTATCTGTTTACTGATTAGTGAAGGGATGAAAGCTACATAAATTATTTGGCAAATGACAGTCCAATATGACGATGCACACCTGTCAGACCAACAAGTGTACGAGTAGTATTCGAGTAAATGGAAAATTACAAAACTGTGTGACTTTTGTGACAGACTGTTCATGATCGGGTCAAGCGTCTTTTAGCAGAATAATGCACACATCAGTAACCCTACAGGAGACGGGTATGGTCACTGCTTGGGAACACTTTCTGGTACTTTCTTAACAACTCACCCTAGGTGACATCACAGGGACAGTCCAATATTTTATAGGGTGGCAAAACCGGGTTTCCAGGCATTGTGGTGCTTTTAACTACGCCAAAATATCTAGAACTGGACCCAACCCTAACCCACCTACGTTCCAAGAGAGAATGCAGCCTATCTTCCACCTCCTGAAATATTGGGCCGTTCTGTTTGGGGAGACTTATTATGAAAGCGCTCTTTTTGAGGCTTGAATTTTCTACTAGAAGCTACAAAAATATAAAGGATAGATTCAATTCAGGAAACAACCATCAGGTTACCAAAAATTAGGAAGTACATTGTGTTCAAACCCTGACTGACTGGGGCCGCAGGTTAAGCACCACAACCCTTGCCAGGGATAGACAGACTGACAAAATCAGGTTGTTTTCCCCCCTGGTGGTACGCAGTACCTGCACCTGTTTTTATAAGCGCTACTGAAATAGACACATTGTGGTGAGTAAAGGTCCCTTTACATGTCAGTGGCACATCGGGCACATGAGTGAGGCTCACATTTTATAACCCAATCAGCCCTCAATGGGTGAAGTGGTCAGCATCATACCAGCCTTTCTTTACTTCCCAGGACTTTACCTGGTACCCAATTAAGGCTGGGTTTACCCGGGAGCTAAGACCATGTTCTTTTTCAGCATTCTGAGCCCTTGAGGTTTATTACTGTAGATATCAATCGCCTCCATTCATCTCTCTAGTTGGCCTTCTTTGCAGCTGGTGATACCAAGTGTTTGCAGGTCTATCTGGATATTATCTCTCCATCCTCTTCCTAAAAAAATATCTGGCTCCATGCAGTTTTGAACCTAAAATTTTCAGACTCCCACAGGCAAGTATTTAGCCACTACACAACATTGGCATACTGTGTGTGAGTACCGGTACCTTTTTCAATACTTTTTGGTGAGCACTGACACTTTTTAAGGGAAACAAAAATTTCTACGGAAAAAACTGGGGCACAAGTGAACTGAAATACAAAGCACAAACAACATCAACACCACACAGTGGCAACTTGTCAAGAATGCATAGGAAGGATATCAGGTAACACTCAAACATTCACTTTATTGTTTTTTTTTTTAAAAAAAAATACACACTGGCATACACACACACAGACGCAGATTCACATTTAACTCTTTTCTTGTGACAAATCATCTAAAAAAGAAACTCAAATTAACAACTTGTTACTTGCTGTCTGTATCAACATCCCAGCACATGTCTGACCCACCTTCTGACATAGCAGCCACCTCAGTGTCTCCATGCTCAACGTGGGATTTGCATGTTGTCTTTCCTAACACAAACTGGTTTCTCCATGCTTCTCCTCGTTTCACACCTATTTCCAACGGTTTCATAGCTATTTCCAACAGTTTCATAGCGATTCCCAACAGTTTCATAGCTATTCCCAACAGTTTCATAGCTATTTCCAACAGTTTCATACCTATTTCCAACAGTTTCAAAGCTATTTCCAATAGGTAGTTTACTCTCTCCGACTCCTTGAGTCAACGTCTCTGGAACACAGCACATTCAGTATGTCTATACTTCTTTCTGCACGAACTACTGCAGCACTGCCAGTCTGTCAGTTCTTTAATTTCCCTGTGTGTTCAAATTACCAACCCATACATGAACCAACAACACAAGATTACAAACTAAAGATCTATAGAACCCAACACATTACCCCCCCCCCCCCCCCCCCCCCACCCCCCAAAAAAAAATTTAGGGGGAGGTGGGACTAAATGTCATTATTTTTGTATACACCACCATTGTCCTGTTGTGGCATTATATGTCACAAAGAGCATGCAATCAGTTCAATATCATGGATAGAATCCAGTCTAGCAGCTTTTGCCTCTCTCATCAACATTCATCTTAGGGTTTCTTTTGGCAACCTCCGCCTCCTCAAACCCTTTATTTCCCATTTCAATGCCTGTTTGATAATTCTCTGCTGGTTTCTTCTCAGGTTGTGTCCAATGTAGTGCCATCTTCTCTGTCTTATGTTGATATGAGTGGTTTCCCAGTTATTTCTCTGATTTCTTCACTCCTTTTGAATTCATCCCACGTTATTTTCATAACTTTTCCCAGACATTTATTCTTGTACACACCTGTACTGAAACAGGACAAGATCATTTCTGAAGATACAGTTCTAGCTTTTGTTGAATCATGTTACATTACTCAGGTGACACTTTATGAATGTTAATGTAACAAGTCATTTCGCTAACTTTATCTGTAGAAACGCAGAATTTACTTCAGTAAAGAACACATTATTCACTTGAGACAAGTGCACAGTATCCATGGAACAAAATATGTCACAGTATCTTTATGTGGCATGTACACAAAATTCTCATATGATCATTACAGTACCCATGTGTAATAAGTGCACATTATCCATGCCTGACTATTGCACAATATCTTCACGTGGCATTTACTACCACTGACTACTGGGTTTCTATAAGATGTTAGTTCTGCAAACCTAACCATATGTTGATAATATTCAACAGCCTGCTATTATAACCTTGCTACTTTAGTTATTAGGTCAGTTAGTCAGTTAATCAACCGATCATCCTTAACACACATATGACAAGTCCATAAGCACTCGGATACCATATTCTTCATCTCCCTCAGCATGTGGTAAAATATAACACACGTTCTCTGATGGTTTACTTTTCTTCTTTGGCTACCTGTATAGTGTTCCAATCTGGCAACAAATGACATGAAGTTCTTGCAGTCTTGTCAAGGTTTACTATTCTTCTTTGGCTACCCATATAGCGTTCACATTTTGCAACACAGGACATGAAGTTCTGGTAGTCTTGTCAAGGCTGCCGTTCACTGCCGTGTCCTTTAATTATCCTTGTTATTTATTAACCTACTTACTCACCATCTTCACCCTGTCCATGAACTAACAATTAAAACTGACCTCCCCATGTAGTTTCGGGGCCTCATTTCGATAAAAGAAAAAGGAACAGACCCTCCGACTAATTAGGATTTCACTTAAACTGGGGGTGATGAGGCTGAAAGGTGCAGATATAATTGCAGCCCAACTGTAAACCACAACACAACATGCAAACTGCCCTTTTAAAAGTCAACGCAGAAAAAGAAAAAGAAAAAAGACGGAGAAGAATAAGAGGAACAACAATAAGAACAATAATAAAAAGAAGAAGAAAAAGAAGTGGAGACGAAGAAGAAGAAGAAAAAGAAGAAGCAAAGAAAGAAGAAGAAGAAAAGAAACTGCCCAAGCCTGCACTGAGGACCCCGAGCTAATCAAAAATGTTGCCCGACCCTTACCCCTGAAGAAGCAAAATCGTGCCCTGTAGCATCTAGTTACAAAACACGAATCAAGACGTTTTATGACCACATAATAATGAATGAAACAAATATTAGCAGTTATAAATGTTTGTTCTAAAGATTACAAATAAATCGATCAGTCCAACTTGGATGTATAACTGAATTTAAAAAGTGAATGAAAGCAACTTTTGAAAAATTTACATCAAAATGGTAACCAATGATTAAAATATCCGAATTTAAGACTCCATGCTTTATTTAAAAAATGAGTTCCTTCCCCTGTATCCTATAGAAATATGACTTGCAAGTACCCGCATTTAAACAATTTGAAATTACCATTACAGTTCTGTATTGGCCATAAAGCAGTTATAAAACATGTTGCTTCAAAACAAAATATAACAGCACCCTCTGGCTGCTACCTCCTAAATTTAGGAAAAAATTGTGTGTATTCACAATACCATACATCCACCCTTCTTCTTCTTCTTGACTTGCAGCGCCGCTCTGGTGGCAGTTTCAAACACCTCTCGTACGCCTTCCTTAGTTTTCGCAGAGCATTCTAGGTATGAGTATGCATTGATCTTTTCGGCCATTGCCCGGCCTTCTTCAGGTCGTACAGGCTCCTGTTTCATTTTCATGAGTTCACGTTTTGTGCTTTCGTCATTACGGAGATCCTTCTTGTTGCCAACCAAGATGATAGGGACGTTTGGGCAGAAGTGTCGTACCTGTGGACGATTAAGAAAATAAAATGTTTTAGCTGACAGTGACATGTGGTACAGACTGATCAACTGAGAATTACCTTATCCCTATTCATCAATATCATATACCAGGTCCTTTATAGAACATCCCTCTCATCACTGTTCGACTGGCAAGGAAAGTTAGGACAAAAGAGCAGCCGGATGTACCAATTACATGCCACCAAAAGAAAAGGTAGATTAAATAAATCAGGAAACCACCAACCGATTATGCAACCAAACGTACAAAAATTCAAGACTGGCGTATCAGCCATGTGCACGTGTGGAAAGCTGCATCAGACAGCAGAGCATGTACTCCAGGAATGCACCAAATACAACATATTAAGGCAAACCCTTTGGCCAGAAAGAACTACAGTAGAACGTAAACTCTATGGACCACTGAATGAACTAAAACTGACCATGAAATTATATGAGAGACAAAACTGTTGACACAGACAACTAATTTCAGGCGAACAAAGGATCTATATTTTTATAGACCAATACTCAGCATTGTCTTATGAGCTGTCAATATTGTTAAAGAGGCCAAGACTGTCAAGCATGTTCCATCATGGTGCAGATGTGAAGGCATAATGACAGTGTAAAGATATCTTTACAAGATGACAAGACATGGTTAATGACATTTCTATCACAATATTACAGTTTTTAAGCACTCCCCCCCCCCCCCCCCTTTGCGCACACAAAACTGACTCACAAAGAGAACCGGATGCCCACATCAGAAAGAGACAATCTACATTCTTTGGTTATATGATGCGACGGAGAAAACTGGAGTACATCCTTATGGTAGGAAAGCTGGAGGGGAAGAGAGGCAGGGGGAGACAGAGAAAAAAAGATGCTGAACAGTTTGACATCATGGTATGGAGTATCATCTGTGTCGGAGCTGACATAGTACACAAGAACAGAAGATTGTGGACAGACATGACTACCAATGCCACATGGCGGTTTCTGCCGTTACCACCCTCACCTCAACTCCACGGCTGCACCGAATATGACACATTCAGGCAAACCTTTTGGCCAGAAAGGACAAGAGTGAAACGTAAACTTTAAGGTCAACTGAAAGAACTTTTAAAAATGACAGTGAAATTTATACGAGAGACAAAATTGCTGATTTGGACAACTTACTTCAGGCGAAAGAAAGAAGAAAAAGAAGAGTTGACTGAAAGTACACGAAACAGAAGGTTGTGGCCAGACAAGACTACCAACGCCACACGACATGGAGCATCATCTGTGTCAGAGTTGACTGAAAGTACATGAAACAGAAGGTTGTGGCCAGACAAGACTACCAACGCCACACGACATGGAGCATCATCTGTGTCAGAGTTGACTGAAAGTACACGAGACAGAAGGTTGTGGCCAGACAAGACTACCAACGCCACACGACATGGAGCATCATCTGTGTCAGAGTTGACTGAAAGTACACGAGACAGAATACTGTGGCCAGACAAGACTACCAACGCCACACGACATGGAGCATCATCTGTGTCAGAGTTGACTGAAAGTACACGAGACAGAATACTGTGGCCAGACAAGACTACCAACGCCACACGACATGGAGCATCATCTGTGTCTGAGTTGACTGAAAGTACACGAGACAGAATACTGTGGCCAGACAAGACTACCAACGCCACACGACATGGAGCATCATCTGTGTCAGAGTTGACTGAAAGTACACGAGACAGAATACTGTGGCCAGACAAGACTACCAACGCCACACGACATGGAGCATCATCTGTGTCAGAGTTGACTGAAAGTACACGAGACAGAATACTGTGGCCAGACAAGACTACCAACGCCACACGACATGGAGCATCATCTGTGTCAGAGTTGACTGAAAGTACACGAGACAGAAGGCTGTGGCCAGACGTGACTACCAACGCCACACGACATGGAGCATCATCTGTGTCAGAGTTGACTGAAAGTACACGAGACAGAATACTGTGGCCAGACGTGACTACCAACGCCACACGACATGGAGCATCATCTGTGTCAGAGTTGACTGAAAGTACACGAGACAGAATACTGTGGCCAGACAAGACTACCAACACCACACGACATGGAGCATCATCTGTGTCAGAGTTGACTGAAAGTACACCAGACAGAATACTGTGGCCAGACGTGACTACCAACGCCACACGATATGGAGCATCATCTGTGTCAGAGTTGACTGAAAGTACACGAGACAGAAGGCTGTGGCCAGAGGTGACTACCAACGCCACACGACATGGAGCATCATCTGTGTCAGAGTTGACTGAAAGTACACCAGACAGAATACTGTGGCCAGAGGTGACTACCAACGCCACACGACATGGAGCATCATCTGTGTCAGAGTTGACTGAAAGTACACCAGACAGAATACTGTGGCCAGACAAGACTACCAACGCCACACGACATGGAGCATCATCTGTGTCAGAGTTGACTGAAAGTATATGAGACAGAATACTGTGGCCAGAGGTGACTACCAACGCCACACGACATGGAGCATCATCTGTGTCAGAGTTGACTGAAAGTACACGAGACAGAATGCTGTGGCCAGACGTGACTACCAATGCTACATGACATGGACTTTGCGAAAAAGAAGTTTCCAAGATACGATGTCGTAAACCGGCTGGATAAAATGCAACTGAAATAACGTACCTCGGGGGTCCACTTTTCTGGAATATTCTCCAAACTGTCAGGGCTGTCTATAGAGAAGCACATAAGTATGACGTCAGTGTCTGGATAAGACAACGGCCTCAGTCTGTCATAGTCCTCCTGACCGGCTGTGTCCCATAAAGCTAATTCAACCTGTTTTAACATCACAAGAAGGAAAAACAATTTATTAAAAACAACATACATGTATCTGTAAACATATCAGTGGTGAAGCGTGTATGTTGAAGCAGTAATTGGTACTTACATGCTCCAGTGCAAAAGCAAAATATTTTACTTTACTATTTATTGTTACTGTTTGTTTACTATTTTTTGTTACTGTTTACTATTTATTACAAATTCGCCCCTCAGTTTACGTCTTGAACACAGCAAAAAAAAACTAACGCTGCACTTATGCAGAAACTGTATCATGTGAAAGCTACCATCTACTAGTACGATGATGCTAACTGTGCGCAGATAGTTTCAACACTAAAGTGGTGAGCAGAAAATAATATGTGATTCCATCTAAAGCGTAACTGTTACCTGCTAACAGTTACACATGTGAGTTGATCACGCTTCGCCACTGAAACATATGATCCTATTAACACTGCAGTTGCTCTGGGTTATGCTATTGCTCATCACGTCTTAGTCTACACACCAAACAAAATAGTTGTTTATGACTGAAAGCCCTGTATGGGAAGCCTGGCATTGAAAAGACAGCAAAATGAACAGAAATGGTCATCTGCTCTTTCTTTTATCTCTGATATGATTTGTACAACACTTTTATAATTATCAATCAATAGAGTTACAAAGATGACAGAAAAGACTTAAAACCTAAACATTTTACAAGACAAACAAAAACTAAACTTAATAAAAGCTTATAAAAATAGAAATAATTAGCTTTAAACATTGATCCATATATGAAAACACAAAGAGACAGAAAACCCCAGCATTAAACACCGGGACATTTTAATTTAAGGGTACAACCCAGCAAAGGTGAGGTTACAGTAGCGTTGCAACTAGATGCTTGCCTGCCGGACCAAAGGTCAGTGTTGAAATCCCTTTAGGAAAACCAGTGTAAACACAAGAACATCTTGGCCCCCAGGTGGAACCAGCCCAAAACAGGTACAAGGTAATGTCCTGGGAAGCAAAGGTGGCCATCGCTAAGTTGATCACATTACCTATTCAGTGGCTGGACAGATATTTTATGGATCAATCGGCACTTGGTGAGGGATGCGGTCAACATCACACTAGCAACTTTCACTTCCCACTTCAATGTCTGGTACCCATTTAAGGTTGGGTCAACCTGGAAGCCATTTTTGAAAACATATCTGAACAGATGCGGATTTGACCTCAAGACCTTCGGGTTGGTCTGTGAGTGTCTAACCTCTACTCTACCATGACTCCCAAAAAAACAGACAACAACCAAAAAAATACTAGCTTCAAAGAACATAATTAATATTCTATTTTATCTTGATAATATTGCTTTTCTATATGATCCACCTGAAAAACTCTTTAAGGCTTTACATTTGAACTCACTGGGGCATAGAAATAAAGGCAGGCCAAACAACACAGAGAAAGGAGATGAAGAATGACACTAAAAAGATGGGGAGGACATGGGGTGAGCTCCATGCGATAGCAGAGGTCAAAAGGACTTGATGTGAGCTGGTTGAGGGCCTATGCTCCACTGGGGGTTAGAATGGCAATAGAAAACAAAGAGCTCCTGATGTTGTTGTTCTGCAGCATGTGCCACTTGGTTTGGAACAATAAAAGTTCAGTCTACTTCTTTTCCTTTATGGTCACTGGCTGTAAACTACGACGGAAAGTTATTTTTTTTTTGTTCATCACCTTCTGGACTTTAATCTTACTCCAGAACTCGAGTTCTGAGTGCATATCTGTTTTACATATGTTATTTGTATGCAGACTGTTGGTACCTCGGCTCTCAGGCGGATGCACTTCATCTTCAAAGAACACATCCCTAATTAGTTAGCTTTTATGAGTTCTGCATTAAGATCAAAGTTCAGTAGTGGATGAAATAACCAGAATTTTCTGCAGGAGTTAACAGCGATTCAGAGCTAAAAGGAAGAAGATACTTCAAACATTTGTAAAAACAGGATAAGAGAACTTGGTGAACTGGAATTTATTTTGTGCAGTTTAGTCTCTGTGAAGTGGCCGTCCATTTATTGACAGTGTCCACAAGGTTTTGCATGGAAACATGATCTGGTCATATTCTAATACGCACGTCTCTAGACACACAATTCCAGAAGTCTTCTTCTTCAAGTTCACCAGCTGTAAACTCTGGCAGAAAGTTCTGGTTGTTCATCCACTTCTAGACCACAGTCTTGTTCTAGAACCTGAGTTGCGTGTGCATCCGTTTTACAAACCTGACTCACTTGAGTGCAGACTGCTGGTTCCTTGCCACTCAGGCAGATGCACTTTGAGTTTGAAGGAAGCTCCCAATTAGTTGACTCTTACAATGTGCTTTTGGGTAGGCGGTGGGTCTATTTTTTTTTCCCCTATAACAGGGCCCCAGAACCCACACAGGGAAAATCCAGTAGTGGTTTTGAACATCTCAATGGCTTTCGAGCCAAGAGAAGGGAAGGAGAGCTATGCAACACAATCCCTGCGGATTTTAGTACCAGAGAGCCTCTAAACCAGCGGTTCTCAACCTGTGGGTCGTGACCCTTTTTTGAGTCAAACAATCTTTCACAGGGGTCACCTAAGACCATCAGAAAACATATATTCATTGAAATTATAAAGAAAAATAATTTGTTGTGGGTCGCCACAACATGAGGGAACTGTATTAAAGGGTCGCCACAACATGAGGGAGCTGTATTATAGCGTCGCCACAACATGAGGGAACTATATTAAAGGGTAGCCACAACATGAGGGAACTGTATTATAGCGTCGCCACAACATGAGGGAACTGTATTATAGCGTCGCCACAACATGAGGGAACTGTATTATAGCGTCGCCACAACATGAGGGAACTGTATTATAGCGTCGCCACAACATGAGGGAACTGTATTATAGCGTCGCCACAACATGAGGGAACTGTATTAAAGGGTCGCCACAACATGAGGGAGCTGTATTATAGCGTCGCCACAACATGAGGGAACTATATTAAAGGGTGGCCACAACATGAGAGAACTGTATTAAAGGGTCGCAAAAACATGAGCGAACTGTATTAAAGGGTAGCCACAACATGAGGGAACTGTATTAAAGGGTCGCCACAACATGAGGAAACTGTATTATAGCGTCGCCACAACATGAGGGAACTGTATTATAGCGTCGCCACAACATGAGGGAACTGTATTATAGCGTCGCCACAACATGAGGGAACTGTATTAAAGGGTGGCCAAAACATGAGGGAACTGTATTAAAGGGTAGCCACAACATGAGGGAACTGTATTAAAGGGTCGCCACAACATGAGGGAACTGTATTATAGCGTCGCCACAACATGAGGGAACTGTATTAAAGGGTGGCCACAACATGAGTGAACTGTATTAAATGGTGGCTACAACATGAGGGAACTGTATTAAAGGTTGCTGTATAGAAAGGATGAGAGCCACTGCTCTAAACCAGCCCCATGTTGATAGACTCAAGCCCAGTCTGGGGCATCAGTAACTAAAAGGTCAGTGCATCAGATTTCAAGAGTTAAAAAAAACAAAGAACTGTGTGGTCTTTTTGTTGATTCACACCCAATACTACCTTCAGTCTCAAAGCGTTTCTAAAACCCACTAAGATCAGGTATTAATCAGCTTACAAAAATTATTACTTAGAAAACAGTGCAGACCTGTTAAGGAGAACTCACCAGGGAGCTAAGAAATAGTTCTTCTTATCAGAAATTCCTCTTACCTAGATAAGAGTTCAAGCATATGGTAATGCATTTACAACGCACAATACAATAATAAATTTCATTATTTTCCCATTTTTGCAATAGCCCAATCTTTCTTTTCAAAGATTTGGATTTCAACTTTCAGGCATTTTTAACTACCAATCAAGTCACAAAAGTCGACTAATTGGGGGTGTTTCCTTGAAAGTTGAAGTGCATCTGCCTGAGAGGTGCGAAATCAACAATCTGCGTATAAATAACCCAGATCTGTCAAACAAATGTGCACACAGAACTCAAGTTTTAGAATGAGACTAAAGTCCAGAAGTGGATGAACAACCAGAACTTTCCATCTGAGTTTACAGCCGGTGAACGCAAAGAAAAATAGATATGAGAAGTTAAAGTAACAGGTGTACGGACTGAAAGAACTCAAGCTATAACTCAGGTAACGATTTCATGAGAATCAAACTGTAGTTAAAACCTGTGACCCTTTAAAATGTATGCAGAGGTGTCTATATAGGTGCAACAAGAGCACTAAGCACTGTTGTGACGTGGATGGTTTGCCAAATGGAAGCGGCGAGACAACAATACTGATCTGATAGGGAGCGATGACGAAACACGATAGCCTAAGTTTATCGGCACAGTACATGATGATGATGATGAGGACAATGACGTGGCCAATTATCACAAATCAAATCTTAAATAAACCCGAGTAAACATGAATGACTGCAAAGCTACATATTTCACAGAATTTCAGCAAATTTACTCTATATTCACCAAGTTCCCATTTAAACCAGGGCTTTTTTCCTAGAACTGTAATAGGGGATCTCCGTAGTGAAGTGGTCGAAACGTTTACTTTGCTCTCTAAAAGTTGTAGGTTGGCTTCATGTCTGCATTGTTTGGTTCACAAGTGCAACATTTTCATGATCATCGGGAATTGTCACCAGAGCTAAAAGTCTGTGCTTTGTGCAACGCTCTCAGCAGGCGGTAAGCCATTCTGCGGAAAAGCTGAGCTTTACACAGGGTTCATAGCCAAATTTACCAATCAATTTCAAGGCTTTTCAAGGTCCTTTCCAAGGTATCCTTATTTTTTTCAAGGTTGTCTCGGAGTAACACTGAAACAAGGTATTTTTTAAAACCAAGTGCAATGAAGTAAATCCTCTAACATTTGATCTTTATCTCCAGAAAAAAAAAGGTGTCAGTACTTACCACAAATTGTCTAAGAAAATGTGCAAGGACTCACCCAAGTGTCTACTACAGTAGCGGTAAAAAAAATATGATGCAAATAAACAGTGCCCGTACTGCGCATCATGCGTAGCACAGCGCAAAAAAAGCTTGGATCACTACATAAATTATATTGTGTGCCGATGTTTCTAT